GGGGAAAATATTAAAAAATTAAGGAGAACAAAGCCCACCCAATTCCTCTGCAATTCCATCGTTTACAACAAACACCATCTATGCTAAACAATCTCACAGCGTCACGTTTATCACCGATATATATGTTGTTTCATTTCTAGGTTATCCTGAACATTCATTGATGTATCTTTAAGGATATTATAAGAGGAGATTACTGACTTCACAGATGAGCTTACTTTAATACCCATAAATTTCAAACCTGAGTATAAGTATGTGCTTTGATGATATGACGCTATATTGTATTCAAGGATGGTCCATCCATGGATGGTTCTGGAGTTGTGATTTTATCGCTTGACACAACGACTCGGGGAAGTCGCCCCTGATCCTCAAAGGCAACGTGGGACAGAAAAGGCTGGATTCTCCGCAACTCAACTGATATTGACTTGCTTAGCTCACAGACCACTTAAATCTGGGAAGTCACTGTGGACCCAATTACTGTGTTGCCCAGTTCTATTTTGGTGTGCATCAGGAGAGTTTAAGCGTGTGATTTGGTTTTCCACAGCGGTGCCTTTTGTGTAATGTGATCGCAGTGACGCAAAGGTATTCCTTAAAATCTATATTAAGTTTCAAGGGTGATGATACCAGACCCTGTTGGAATGTACGTTGCTCACTTGGCAATGATTACCGAGAACAGCTAAATGTTTAGAAGTATTGACTGAAATGTTGACTAGGACGACCCAGTCTAGAGAGAAATACTTGCTCGATACTTTGAATGGTCTCCAAATGGCCAACAAACAACAAGAGCAAACTACATCCACAGAATAACCAAGCTACAGCCTAACTTTTAATTGAATTTAATGCTAATTTATTTTAATGTATCCACACGGCAACAGGACTAAACATGGACCTTTAACACTAATGCACTTTTATTTTGCAAATAATTTTTGCCAAATTATTTAAATGTATGATAATGCTAATAGTACAGTGCCACAGATATGGAGGATTCTGGACAAAGTACAACAATCGGACAATGGTTCATTGACGACGGTTCCTGCCAAGACTCCTTGCCAAGAACGACACCCAATATTGAGGCAATGACTTGTATTGTTACAGCATTATGTTTCAACGTTGTCGATGCTTCAGAACAGAATTCGGCTGAGAGAGACAAATGAAACCAAGGGAGAGATGGTCGGATTAGCAGCCTGGGATGTTTCTATTTTAATTCCTCTCATCTGCTCATTCTGGGCTCCGGCCTAAGAGCACAGTGACAGGAATCTGCGCTTCTTCTGAGAGCATCTGGTGTCACCCCCAGGTAAAAGCGAGGGCCATCAATTAATCAGCATGAAGCAGCCACTAATAAGACTGCAAAGCCCTCCACTGGTCCAAGAGCCAGTGGCAAAATAACCAAGACGCCATCTAGTTGTCCATCTCAAGTTTTAGCCCTGTGCTAATCGCTAACTCACTAATGTGTCGCAGTGAATTATTGAATTACTACCAGTTTTAAAACAAAACCATCAGTTTTAAAACACAGGACGGCTAATGCGCGTGTGTGTGTGTGGTCGTTTATAGATTACGTTGTGGGGATGAGATGTCCCCACAATGTAATAATAACCTGACAGTATTTGGCTTGTGCCAAAAGTCTTGTATTTTCTTTGGTTACTTGTGGTTAAGGTTAGGGATGGGTAAGGGTTAAGGTTGTCATTGTTGGGATTAGAGTTTTTCCCATAGAAATGAATGGAGAGTCCCCACAAAGACAAGATTTCAAACCTGTGTGTGTGTGTGTGTGTGTGTGTACAGAGAGAGAGAGAGAGAGAGAGAGAGAGAGAGAATGACAGAGAGCCTAATGTGTACCATATAAACAACAAATGTATCATTATTTTTTAAGTATGAATTCATAACAAGCAATTGCAGTATTAATTCTCTATTGCTATAAATCACCAACCATTTAAGTTATATCTAATGCTATACATAATGTCTCATCAATACTTCTGCCGCAATTCCTGCATTAAAATAAATGAAGAGAAACAAATAAAAATTGAAATATTTGAAACATATGGGAATAGTTGAAAGGTAATTACGTTACCGATGCATGACCTCAGTTTGCAGAATTGACATGATGCATTACAAAAGGCTCAGTAATCTAAGGGCAAAAGTCTTTTGTGGTTAAGAATTTCAGTAATTATTCTGATGTATGTGCTATAAATAGGCAGTGATTCCTTTTATTTCTGAGATGTCTGGTTGGAGAATAACGCCACCAGATTCTACCCGTCAACTTGCATCTACAGTGGCAGACATTAAAACAATCCCTTAAATTATGCCTCAGCTGAATAGTGACTTCTATAAAAAAAAAAAATCAAATTTCTAGAAAAAGTTGAAGGAATGCCTTTGAAAAAAAGAAAGCTGCTCAAACTTTGAGTTTGCCTGTGTGACCTGGGGATCAGCCGGTTCAGTCTGCTGTAGAAAAAACAACAAACACTTAATGAATTTTACCGAAAGTAAGAGAAGCGATTCATCAAGATCACAAGACAACGTGTCCTGCTAGTGGAAATAATTGCTGTAGAAGTCACGTAACAATTAATTGACTTTTTCACCTAATAAACAAAACATGGAATACATATGCAATTTTAAATACGCCATTAATTCTACTTATTGCAATTGTGGGCAATTATTCCTCTTGGTGTTATAGAAGGAAGCGTTTGTATGAAACTGCTAAACAAGAAATCATCCTTCTCCTAAAATAGCCTGGGCTGCATGCCCTCAGTCTGGCAACGTCTGCGTTTCGCAAAGTTGCAAACGAGCGCAGCATTTTGAAGGGAGAATGGAAAAAGACCAAACTGCCCCGTGTAATGTCTTTGAGGTCCTTATTGTCATGCCTACGTGTGAGGATTGAATGATGGAACGGAAGCCGGAAGACACCTGAAAAGATCCTCACCATATGTCGGAACGCCGTGATGAACGCGGTGCTCTCTCAGCGCCAGAAAGCATCTCCACCTCGTTGTGTGGAGAACCGAGTTATTCTCAGACAAACCTAGATAACAGCCATCTGGCCCACGCCACAAGGAAACATCAGCCACGCTTCCCTGGTAGCACCCATGACTCCAATCCCAGAATGCAATGCAGAAGACACGGCTATGTTGCCCAGAGAGTAAGATATGGCAGCAGGAGAGACGCATCTTTTCATTCATATTCAGGATTAAGCAAACTGAGATGTTTAGCGATCTGTAATGATCCAACAAAGCCCTGTCAAAGACACTTGGTGGAAACATTTGCCTCCTGGGAAATTATACCTCTTTATCCTTTCAGATGAATTCTGCAGACACATAATTGGAGGTCTACCAGAGTTAATTTGTAAGGCATTGTAAGGAAGAACTTCCATATTTTATGGAGTATCTTCTGCAATGCTCAAAATCATTCTGAAAATGACTCATAAACATTAGTTTTCCATTAGCACATATACAGAGGGCTACTGTTATTCGTAGTGTGTAATTTTTTTGCTTATTATGTATTTGAATATCTGTGAATGAATGGTATTCAAAAGATGCAGCAAAACAGAATGTCGAAGACAGTTTTAAACCTTCAGCAAGTACGGGAAGAATAGTAAGAGTAGCATTTAAGCTTATTTTGATGTTTTACATTCCTGGACTCGACACATTTTGCAGATGTACTCTGGCAAGAAGGCTGACAGCTTTTACTTTTGAGCAAGGCTCAGTGAATGTCCATCTGCCTCTTTTCCCTGGGGAACTTATTATTCTCTGCTATCCAGGAGTTTTTCCTGCGAGCAGCTAATTACAGCCCGCTTCTGTACACCAAAGTTCCCAGCATCCTCGTTGGCAAAACTATTCGCAAAACGTAAAGACCTCCTCCTCGCCGTGTACACAGGCTCTCCGACACTGTGACATCATCACATCGCTAAACTAAACAAAATGGACAAAAAGCCGGATATGTGCTTTTTGCACCGCTGTGCCGAGAGCCGTAGACCTTGATCTCCATCCTGACGTAAAGCCGGCCGCGACGTAAACAGTCCTGCCTTCTCCTTAATTGGCTGGACCCCTCAACAGCACACCTCTCATCATGAGATATTTCTTAAAATCATGACTTTATAGGAGAGACAGCAATTCTAAAAAAAAGGGTCGGCTTTAATTGAAATACTTGGTGGTTGACATCATAATTCACAAAGTACACATGACTTTCCATCAGTTAATCTAATCTTAATCTTAATCTTAATCTAATCTCATCTAATCTAACCTTTTAAAACCTATTCCAACGTTTACTGTTTTTCTCCACCGAGAGCCTTAATGTCAACAACACTATTTACAATATGTTTAACAGAATAATTTTTATTTGTAGCAAATAAATAAGTTAGGCAAGTGTTCAATGCCAAAGGAAGAGCACTGACGGCAGCTGTCTGTCACCCAGCTGCTAAGGCGTCACATTCAGGGCACACAGGCACAGGCGTCAACACTCTCGGCGATCCTTTGAACAATCTAGGCCGCTTGCCTCTCATTTACATCCAGATTTTTCGGTTAAAGCACAGAGCAGAAGAATGCTACCAGAAATAGAAGACGTGCGGCTGACTTTCCCGTCTGGGAATAGGCAGGGAGGGCCTCTAAGCAGCCCCCACCCAGCGTGATCAAACAACAAATGCACCCCTGTCTGCTTCCTCAGCTCTGTCAGGTTCATTAGACTTAAAGTGAACGAACCCTGCTGAAAAAAAAACAACATAGAGCAGCATATAGTTGGTTACCAGTGTGACCAGCATAATGCATGCTGGTTATACAGCATATGTTGTGTTTTGGTGATGGTGGACCAGTGTAATTAATGAAATATTGCTGGTGGGGCAGCTGCATGTCCAGGTAGACCAGCACGGCTATGCTGGTCCACCAGCTACACCAGCACCAAACCAGCAACAAATCAGCATTATCCAGCATAGACCAGCATGGAAATCATGCTTGTCTATGCTGTTTTTATTTTCAGCTGGGAAAACTGCTGTTTCACATGGTAAATTGCAGAAAATCTCTTACCTTTCAAATGTTAGACAAAATCAGCTGAAAAGAAAAAGGAAATAACTGTTAGTACATTGGGAATTATGAAGTAAACACAAGAAATACAGGTAAACATATCTTAGCTAACGTTGTAATGTGCACCCTCTGTCGACACCAGAGGTACACGTCTAGTCGGAGGGAAAGAAACTGAGTTAAAAGTTAGCTATCATATTGGATTTATTGAGATGTTTCGACGTGAATTTCAGCAGGGAAATATGAGCACTGATATTGTACATGCCACTGCAATCTTCTCAGGGTGCAAACAACAGGAAGTACTCCAACGAAATTTGGGTCTCCATAAGTGCTCTGTCCCCATAATTGGCGGTTGCAAAAGGGTGAAAAATTTCTGCTAGATTTCCAGAAACTTTCCATGGGAAGTCAAGCTGGGGAATTTTGGAAATATTGAACTCCATGGAACTCTGTGCGAGCTGTCAGATACGGCAAAGAAAGCAAACTGTATGAACAAAATAATAGAACACAGAATATGACTTATAAGCAATGTGTTTTGGTGCAGATGCTTATTTTTGGTTGCTTTTACATAAATGTAATTACTCACAAGCACTTGGTTGCAAAATGATACCACTAATAACTGCATTTAAGTTCCCTGTTATAGGCTAGCATGCAGGCAATTTTGCAAACTTCCAGTTTATTTTAATTAATTCCAATATAGTCTCGCTAATTCCCATATAATCCCATTAATTCCCATGGAAAGTTTCCAAGTTTGAAAATTCCCAGAATTTTGCCACCCTCTCAAACGCGGTTACGTCCCTCCCATTATTTATTTGCTTTTTATCCTTGCTGAGACTTAGCCCCCGATCTCTCTCTCTCTCTGTGGACGCGGGCGCTCCATTTACCCAGGAACACAAAGGGAACAAGACTTAACTTTCGGGAGCAGCGGCGCTGTGGGAGCGCCATGGACCTTACAGAGACATATTACTGAGCCAGTACATTGCTGAAGCCTCGTGATTTATTGCAGGTGACGTCTTCGTTTCTGCATCCATCTGCACTTCCCTGTAAACTTGCGAACACGCACCAGATATTCTCCCCAGAAGTGTACTATTTATAAAATACAGGTATACTGAATAAGGGAGTCGCTTGACAGCTAATTAGAGCAAGCATCATAGTACATATTTCAGTTATCACCATGCCAACTGTCCACCGCTAAGTACGGATAAAGGGGGGGGGGGGGGGGCACCCTAGCAATATGTTGCTTTATTTTATCGATTCCCCAAAGTCACGAAGACACATTTCTTAGAGCTGGAATTAAACTCGGGGGAGAAGACTTTCTCCCGAACAGCTGGTGTCCGTTTGGAGTTAAGCAGAGAGGAGTCGGCTGGACTTGGGGCGTGATGTCTTCCTCGTGTTAAAGTAAAACATAAAAGGAAAATAAATTATTTTTAGAATAAGTGGAAAGGTGATTAGCAGTAAGAAAGCGCCGAGAAGCAGCAATCAGCATTATTTTATGACATTTGTTAAAATTATACTCTCGGAGTTACCAAATGGAATTTCATTTTTAGTTTAAAACGAGGCAGGTTGAGGTATTTTACTTGCTGGCAGCGAGTTATGGCAGGACGTACATGCACCGTGTCTGTGGTTTTTAGTTTTTCGGCTGTAGGAGTTTCTGTCCAGTCGGAGTTACGCGACTGACAGGCTACTGAGGAAAGTGCACAGTAATGCAGGGGGCGCCCTGGATGGGCAAACGCCCAGGATCTTCGAGGGAGGGCGCCGATTTAGCAAGCGGCTGGCCGTGGGGGGGGCACCCGAGAAGTAGGAGCGGACAAAGATGCTGAAAACGACACAGGAGGCCACGAGAACTTTGGAGTGGCGATTCTAGACTATTTCAAATGGGGGGGGGGCTCCAGGTATTACAGTATATCGCCAGCATTAAGAAGCAGAAGACAATTTCGAAAACCAATAAGTTATTATGCAATGCTTTGCAGTCACATTTTTACCGTTTTTACAAATCTGTACCTCACCCTGAATTCTTCTTTAGACTGTCTCGCTTCCACATTTTTTTTTGTGTTGTTAACTTTCCACAAAGTGAAGCGCCCCCGACTTAAGAGTCTGTTAGGAAAATGTGCTTCTGTTTGTGTTTCGCCTGTTCCCCAGTATTGTCCCACATGTGTAAATGAGATTAGATAGATAGATAGATAGATAGATAGATAGATAGATAGATAGATAGATAGATAGATAGATAGATAATAAAACATTTATTTCAGACCGAAGTAGCACACGTATTTAGGGGGGCCGCGGGAGGGCATGCCCCCATCCCCTGCACCCAAAAGGGTGCACGATGATCGCCGTCGCCCTTGAACCCGGAGCCCCATAGTAGTTCCCCGCCCACACACCAGTCAAACTGAGAAATAAAGATCCCAGAAATACGCAGCAGATAAATAAATCAAAGGGCGTCTCCGCTGCAGCGCACTTGCGTCTGTTATCCTCCCGGCGGCGTCCGCGGGGCTTCTGCGGCTCCCCCGACAGCCCGCAGCGCCTAATCCACTTAGCTGTGCCCGGTCCCGCACGGAACCGCCATCTGATTCGGTTTAACGCGCCGGATCCGCATTTCGTGCGCTGACACGCAGCCGCCCCTGTGTGCCGCCATCGCCTGCGTCTTACACTATTTGAAAATAATACAGATGTTCCATATTTCCAGATAGGATCCTAAAGTACCTCGATATTTACACAAAATATACGGCTAATAGTTAAGAAAAAAACAGCTTAACTTTTAAATATTATCAATATGTTGATAACAGGGTTGCCAAATCACGCATCTGTCGTGACACTCGTGACTTTCAGACTCACGCAGGAAATCTTACGGCGAATACCTATTATTCCATTACAGACCGAAAATTAGCTGCATCGAAAACGCTGCGGTAGTTTGCAAACCCCACGGACTATTTACAAGTGAATGCGCGTGCATGTGTGTGCATATTTGTCTCGAACTGAAAATGTCGCGCCAGCCAGCTGAGCAGAGCTGGCATCCAACAATCCATCCATCCATCAGTTCTTCCATTCAATCCATTCTTTATTCTGTTCACTGAGAAGCAGAAGTAGGTTTGATGGTACATACAGAAGTTCAGAAATTTCGCTGCGGCAGGTTTTATTTTCATTCTGACATGAATGACATAACCAACAAAAAACTTCACACAAACTTATATAAAACACCGTTGTTGTCAAGCAACACAGAGGAGTGCAGACCTCTTGTTTACATACAAACATAGATTGTTTAGAGATCCATTCTGCATATAAGGATTATACTCCTTATTTGTAATTAGTTATTTTTAAACTTGTGGCCTTCCTGTTAGCTTTAAGCAGCGTGGCAATTCTCGTCTGACCTCTACCATTAACAAGGAGTCCCTGCCACAGAAATACCATTGACTGGATGTTTTTTGTACATCATACATCCTCTACAAACTCTGGCTGCTGTAGTGCATGAAAATCCCACATAGGTGGCTACACCTGAGATCACACACCTTAGCCGGCCTCTTGCTTAATCCAACTGTAGCTGAACCTCTTGACCTCGTCTGAGTGATTCTGTATGTACTCAGCTGCAGCCTGGTAATTGGCTGTTCAGAGGAACAGGCTACTTATGTCATCGAACAGGTCTACATAGTAAACTGACCACTTGCTGTACATATTTTTTCTATATTCGCAGCACATAATACGGATAGCCTGACCACTTCTTCGTCGTTCACTTGAGAATAATTCCTGTGAATTATTCCTGGTAGAGATTTTTTTTTACCCGCTCCAACTAGAGCCAGCTGTCCTATCAATCACACTAATCAACACCTATGTGCAATTAATAGACTTCTTAGTAGTTGTAGATGTTACACGGGGGACAGTGTAATTTGCAGGATTCTCCTTGACAAGTCTTTCATTTGGACGTGCTAATATCTCTGAGACTTACTACACATAAATAGGACATGTATTTGTGTGGGTGTGTGTGTGTGTGTGTGTGTGGGTGGGTGATGACAGTAATATACATAACAGAACCTCATGAGTTAATAGCTAATCACCCACGGATTAATCAAAATTCACTTTATTGACCAGTACACCTATACCAGGACTTTGTCCCGGTGGTATTGGTGCATACACTCAAAGACAATACTAGACAGACTGGGGGCAGTCTGAGTACCACCGGTGGTACCTGTACCACAGTTAGAGATCCACTGAAATGGAAGATTTTAAAAGATAAGCTAACGTAAGAAGCTCATAAACAGTACGACGAGAAACGCGCAGGGCAGGAAGACGCACACCAACAAGCGACTTCGCACAAAAGTCGTTCTCAGCTTATAATCCTTGGCAGAGGTATTCGGAGCAGAGTTGGGCTGCAGAAATGCGTCAAAGCCCTGGGAGCGTGCGCAGGCTGTTCGGTTCAAAGCCTCCCGTCTGCTCGCTCGCTTCCATCCTGCCTCATGGCAGCTGCTGGTTTTCATAGTGGTGGGAGTGCACAGGTGAGGCGGCGTCGCTCGATACGGTGCGCGGTCTCCTTCAGAGGTGAACGCTATTATAGCCGCCGGAATTCTGGGTATTTCGCTATATTACGAAGGTTTTATGTTTGCTTAAGGCAGCCCGGCTGCACAATAATGCAGCTTAAGTGCACTTGCCTATCCTGCTAAACGCTATACTTTTAGCTGAGCCATGGTTTAAACCCTCCGGGTCGGAGGTGTGGCATCTACGTCAGACTCTATGCATGAGCTTTGCATGGTACGTCCTCCAGCAGTCACACAATGTGCGATTATTCATACATTTTCTGTAACTACTTGTCCTGTACAGGGTGGTGGGGGTCCAGATCCTATAGGAAGGCAGGACACATTTATCTTTAACACCTATATGCAATTTTGTGGCAATTTACTTTAGCTTGTTTTTGGACTATGTGGGGAAACCCTATGAGGACATGGGGAGAAGATGCAAACTCGCAAGGAGCCGCGGCGGAGACTCGAACCCAGGTCCGCACCACCGTGCCACCCACACATGGTTGTCTTTCTCTAAATTTCCCATAT